CCCAAATAACTGAGAAGGGCTTCTCTGGTTGCCTGATTATAGACATAAGCAATCAGAAAGCTCTGGGAAATTGCCATCTAGTGGGAATTCATCCTCTGCATCCATTTGCATTCTCTGTATTTCCCCTGTGTAATGACAAAGCTGAACACAGACTGAAATGACTGGTGGACACACCACCTTTCGAGTCCTGACATCTTCCTTACAGCACAAAGAGCAAAAGAAAAAGGGAATATGGGTGAAAAGAGAAGGGTTGGTCTTGTGGTTAAAGCAGCAGACTGGCACTCAGGAAACACAAGGTGAGATTCTGGCCCTTTCCCCCAAAAAAAGGTTGGAATCAACCGTAGCCTTGAGGACTAATGTGAGTTCTGCTACAGATGATGAGTGGCTTTGGGCAAATTGCTTAACCACCTTCAATTCCCCCTCCCCATGTCAGCTGGGATGCCAGTGTCCATTTTGCTGGGACATGGCATGAATGATCTGGTATTTGGGAAGCCCTTAAGTCCATGTAACAACAATATGTGGTCCTGCTTTTAGCTTAGAACTACAATAAGGCAGAGCTGAGAACATTTTGTTTTGATTTTCTTATGACTATATGAATTCACTGAGACAAGTGACAGAGAAATATGATTAATCACATTCATATTACTATCTCCAGTTCTTGCTTTTATCCAAGCAATTGGAAAATGTTAAAGGCAAGACTATTTTGCCCAGCTGACTTGAGAAGGTGGGTTTATTCCACATTTCTGTTTCCAATAAATCTCTCAGGACAAAACCATCCCCAACAGCCTATATACGCAAAGGACAAAAAGGCACTAAGTCCTGAGGAGAGGGGGGAAGAGATAAATAGTTTACTTCTATTATCTTTACCATATGCTCTATTCCAACTGGATACACATAAACAGCATGTAATCTTCAAGCTCAGCTTTAGACTCTTTGAAGTGACCTGACCATACTACTGATTTATTTCAAACTAACCTTTCTCTTTGAACCCTAGGTCAAGGTTAATTCTATAATAAAACATACCTTATACAGCTGGCTTTTCCAGCGGCGCTAGCAAGTAACGAACCCCTCAGTCATCAGCATTTGTTTCACTGAGTGAAGTATTGTATTTCTATTTTCCCTTCCCTGTATTAATTTCCTTCACAGACCCTAGTTAAGGAGAAAAAAAATCTCTTTTCCGGTCCTCGAGATCAATTTGAAACACACTGGAATTAAACAAAGACATTTAAGCCACGTTTCTTTGCTGAAATTCATCCACCAACACCAGGAACTATTTTTATTAGGGTCTATGTTAAATAATCAGATCTTCAGTTTCATAAGGAGCTGTACAGCCACGTTTTAAAACTCCCCCACTGGCAATGAACCTTTCAGACAGAACCTTTGACAAAACCATCTTTACACCGAATCACATCAAACCACCAAGGACAGCTTTTCTATCTAGGGAAATATATTTAAAGGGCACTTCTCAAAAAAAAAAAAAACCACAACAAACCAAACCCAACAGAGCTCCTTGCAGGTGCCTGTCCACAGATATGGAAGGGTGGAAGCACTGCAAGCAGGGGTGGAAAAGTGCATGAGCTGCCTCAGTGCTGTGGGATGCAGTCATTAAGAGATGCTGAGGCACACACCAAATTGGTCAGTCACGTTGGTTTTTAAGAGGACTGGGAAGACTGAATCTCAGCCTCCAGCCCACGGCACATCCTCTCAGTACTTGATGAAAAAGCAGCAACACACAAGCTAAACCAGCAGCTGTTACAGATTTCTTTTGACTCCAAAGCCCTGCCGACACAGTGCCTGCTGGAGCTGTCGGGACAGGGATGAGATGAGATCTCCTGGGCTTGGGGCTTCTGTGAGGCATAGGCTGAAGACCTTATCTGCTGCAGATAACAGCAGGGGGGAACTGTGCTTTCCCTCCAAACGAATAACAACTTTATCCTGGCTTACCCTCACACACTTTGCAGGCCTGAGTCCACAGCAGGTTAACATTCGGCATCACCAGAAGCACACAAAGGTGCATCTCCCTTAAAACCCACACCAAAAACTTTCAGAACCTCATCTCTGGTTTAGGGGCCACTTTGTTAAACAGGGCTTTAGGCTGGTGTTCAGCTGAGTTTGGTCAGACAGCACTCTCAGTCAGCAGCGATACAGCAAACTTGTTATCTCATCAATACCTGTCACGGCCTCACGTGGCTGAGCTTGCCATAATGGAAGCACCATCCATTTGAAATCCCAAAGGCAGGCATCAGTTTTGGATCAATGGAGCTCTCAGAAGCTCCATTAACTATTATGATGCCAGTGATGGCTGAAATCTATTTTGGGTTAATTTTTTCATGCCAGGACAAGTCAACAAGGGGGCTTCACTTATTTGAGAGCCTCTTTTATAGTAACAGAGTGATGGCATGGTGAGCCCAGCACCTCCAGATCTGATGTGGTTCCAAGGAAACCCTTTTCCCTAAAATCACCACCCTGGGCATGCTGAGAGAAAAGCTACAGTGGGCTGCCTGTCACATAACAGTCCTGAAGAGGAGGGAGAACAACAGACCTTCTGCTACTTGCAGTGTCTCTGCCCGTCACAGGGATATCAGAAACATTCTTCCTCTGTTCTTTACCATAATAAGTGGCATTTTAAATGAGGAATTACACCAATTCAAGAGCTCAGAATAAGCCATGTGAAATTCCATCCAAAGGCACCGAAACAGACCTCTCTACGGTTTGCTAATATTCTTCTTTCACAGACACCAACAATTATCCCACCTAATGACTTGTTAGTGGATGAAATCAGCCAATGAGGCTGATTTTCAGAAGGATCACACAGAACCATTTACTATCGTGCAAGATAATAAACACGTCCAGACCACTGAATGAGGTCACAAACAGCCTGTCACAGATACCAGATATTTACAGCAGGATAAGGCACCACATCAGATAAAGCAAAACACATCCTCTCAAGGATATGGGAACAGTGGAATCTCTCCGGCTGCATTTCAAGCAGGGGTGATTTCCATCGCTCCTGGGAAAAAAAAGCTGATCCCGGAGCCGCTGGGTCTGCGGGAGGTGCCAAACCCAGCAGGGCCGCCACCCGGCTGTGACAAACCTCTGGGGGTGCGAGGAGCCCACAAAAACCCTGGGTTTCAAGAGGTTCCTCCTCAACCTGCACAAGAACCCGGGCCC